CCCCCCCCCCACTACCAAGAAAAGACTGAAGTAGGGATAGTTTGTGGTCTTGCACCCAACCAAGGTAAGTGAACACAATGGAAATTTATATTCATGAGATATGAGCCATTCTGCCAGTAAAAAGTTGGTTTAATTGGCATATCTCGAGCCTTAAGGGAAAGCTGGGAGTAGGGGGAGGAAGCAAGCAAGTAGGTTAACATTACCAAATGCTTACCTACCATGCGCAGGACACAATATGAGGCTCTATTTGTGATGTCTCACTTAACTGAAGTGAGAGAGGAATGTGCATAAATGTATAGATTTTTGAATTGCATTAAAAAAAAGCCAGTACGTCCTTTCCTTCATTTGGTTGAAAACAGTTATTTGTGTATTTATAACTTTTTCTTTTTAATTTAAAAAATAACAGTAGAGAATCACTGAAATTTCTGATTTCAATAACAATTTGCTTAAATAGCTTGAAAATTATTCTATGAAATTAAAAAAAAAAAAAGGAACATTATAAAAGGTGTTAGTGTGTCGGAGAAAGCGTTAGTAGGTTGATGGGTATAGCCAGAACACCTCACGCTGTCCATCCAGTTCCCAAACTGTTACTGCAGGCCAGCAGGCAGTGCTACCTGAAACCATTTTTATAAAAGTGTTTATAATCTGGACTTGATTTTTTTAATTTTAGATTTTACATTGATTTTTAGAAAGAGAGGAAGGGAGAGGGAGAAACACTGATGTAAGAGTGAAACATCAATTGGTTGCCTTCTGCACGCCCACCGTCCCACTGGGGATTGAACCCACAACCCAAGCATGTGGCCCGACCAAGATTCAAACCAGCAACTCTTGAGTACACAGGATGACACCCAACCAACTGAGCCACAGCAGCCAGGGCTTGACTTGACTTTTAATGAAAAAGTTCCTCACCAAAAAATCCAATGGCAAACCCAAGTTTATTTTCTGTATGTATAACATCAAAAACATCTGACAGGTTGGCCCCATTCCCAGAAAGTCTATTTCTCCCCTAACATTCTGTAACTTACATGCCACTGGGCTGGGGTGCTGTGGAGGGACAGCTGGGATCTACTAAAAGTTTTCTCAAAACTGCCTCCTCTCCTTAAGTCAGCGGCCCATCCACAGCCTACTTAGAATTTTCCTGAATAAACTTTTAATAATACAAACAAAGGCCAAACCCAGAAATTCAAATTCAACCCATAGGGGGAAAAAATTCCAAAAGCGACTATAAGAAGTGCATTCCTCCAATGTTGCCTCCTCAGGCCAGTGTGACACTTACCCTTCATATCCTAAACTTGTCCTAAACTTGGGAGCTCTATTTCTTAGTCATCGGGTTTATGGCCCACAGCGTTTTGCATAATCTCACGTGCAGAAACTGTTTATTTTCTTTTTATTTTTTCGGTTAATCCTCACCTGAGGGTATTATTTGGGGGTGGGGGGAGAACCATGGATCTGAGAGAGACCCAGCAATTGGTTGCCTCCCGCGCGCCCCCCGCGGGGATGGACCTGCTCCCAGGCGCGCGCCCTGGGTGCAGAATGGAGCCCGCGACCCTTCGGGGTGCAGGAGGGAGCTCTTACCGCCGGGCAGGGCCAGAACTGGTTTCTTTAGTGCTTAGTAAAATGAATGGTAATGTTCACTTATTCACCTCCCTCAGTCGGCAGGACGCTCCCCGAGGACACAGGCCTCAAGGGTGTTTATCTTCGGCTTAAAGAGCCCCCCTCGCCCTAGTCAGAAGTGTTCCGCGGGGGGAGCCAAGGAAAGAACGTGCTTCTAGGGTTCAGAAAACGTTTTGGTCTCCTCTTTCCTGCGCTGGGGCAATAGGCAAAGGGGGCGCTCTTATAACAATAGGGCTTAACCTTAAAACTTGGTTTCACCAAATGCAAAACCTCTGCGGTCCGCGCGGCGGGAAGCTGACAGCGCAACCGGTCGGTCCCGGTGGGTCACAAGGTCAAGGTCACCGACGAGCTCGGGATCCTCTCTCCGGCAGGCGTCGCTGGCCGCCGCGGGCCCCGAGGAAGGAAGTGGGCCGTGATCTTCCGTTCAGCCCGAAAGCTCCGCGCCCCCGGCTCGCCTTCCCTCGGGGCCGGCGCCCGCTCTCGCGCCGCAGAGGCTTTCGGAGGGTCCCGCGTCCCCTGCGAGCACCGAGGCGTGAGCCGCGTCCTCACTCGAAGGCGCGGGTTCGGGCCCCAGCGATCGAGCCCTGGGGCGGACCTGGGGGGCAGCTCCGGGCGGGCCCGGGAGCGGAAAGGCCGGGGACCCCCGCTGAGACGGGACGCTGGAGTCTCGGGTGACGAGCCCGTGGGGCGCAGCGGGGAGTCCGGGAGCAATGGAGGGGGAGGGGAACGGGCGGAGGTGCAGCAGGAAACGCCCAGGGCCT